CACACACACACACACACACACACACACACACACACACACGCCGAAAAGAGGCATGGCGCACAGTGCGCACCTGGCAGGGGTAGCGCGTCCCCATGCGCTGCGCGCGCGATGTCACCGCACGCATTCCGCACGGCGCAGCGCACCGCATCGTGCACCGCACTAATGCGCCGCAAGTATGGTATTCATTGAATCTTTCTGAGCTGCGCTGATATGGATTTCCATATCTGGTCTTTGTTGTGAATCTTAAACCACCAGTACCTGGCCCAGCTATCGAAGCCGAGCCTGAATACACCCTGCGCGCCGATTTTTGCCAAGCGTGCCGGGGGCAGGAACCAACATGGGACATTTGATGCTTGGCACAGGTACCGCCCTTATTCTGGACCTGCTGCCAGCAGCTGGAATGTAAAGCGGCTATATCTTGTTTCCACTCGTGTACATGAAAATGGCCTTGGCAGAAGTGCATCCAGATCCATTTGGAAAGGTCTCGTTGAATGCTCCCCGCCTCTGGGGGGGAGCAGAGGCACAAACAGCCGAGAATCTTGAAAAAAAAAAAAAAAAAAAAAAAAAAAAAAAAAAAAAAAAAGGGAAAAAAGGTACCAAGCTCTGAACGCGATTATCCTCAGATACATCCGCTGCTGCAGTGAAGTCCAGCCAGATACATTCTGGAAAGTGCTAGGTCACAGTGAAGCCCTGGAATTGAAACGGTTGGCACACACTGAATGCTCCCCGTCTCTCACGGGGAGCAGAAGCACAAACAGCCGCGATGCTGCTTCCAAAAAAACAAAAAAAAACAAAGGGGAGAAGAGGTACCAAGCTCTGAACGTGAATGCCCTCAAATACATCCTCTAATGCACCGAACTGCAGCCAGATACATTCTGGAAAGTGCTACGTCACAGTGAAGCTGTGTTCTTGGAACCGTTGGCAAGCATTGAATGGGCAGAAGCACAAACAGCGGAGATACTGCTTCCAAAAAAAGAAAAAAAAAGAAAAAAAAAAAACAAAAAAAAAAAACAAAGGGCAAAAGAGATACCAAGCCCTCAGATTCATCCACTGTGCCCACAAGTACAGCCGGATATATTCTAAAAACTAGTAAAAAGTGCTAACCTTACAGGGCTGGCAGGCACTCATGAAAAACCAGTTTTCTTCCAAACAAAAAAAGAAAAGAAAGAAAAGCAACGATCTGTTTATTTTTTCTTCTCGTGTTGCAGTTCCTTTTCTTTTACCTTTTGCCCCTCGTCGCCTTCAGCCTCCGAACGTTTCCACATAGCACAGCACCAGGACATCTTACAGTCCATTTGCCCCGTTTTTGTGGGCCCACGCACGTCCTCCTCCATTGCACTGCCGGGCCTTCCCCGAACCCCGAAAACTGTGGCGCGTTAACGGGGAAGGCCCGCGGCCCATGTATGGGCCAAGTACTGGTGATTTAATGTGAGCTTCCACTGTGCATGTCGTATGGAGAGTGGAACTGAGCGGATCATTGCACTTGAATCATTGCACTATTCTGAATTTAGTTCAATTTACTTTTTGAGGCTTTTTTTTTTTTTTTGACCTTCTCTCCATTTATGTGTGTCATCGTTGCACAGGGGGCAGGCTAATCGTTTCCTTTTCTTTTCTGTATCATACTATCATTCCAATTTTGCTGGATGCCCCCGAGGCGTCCAGGACGCTATTCTGAATTTCCAATGCCCTCTCAGACGACACTCTTTAGAAAGCTGGGAAAAGAACAATGGCTCCTACCATCTTCGCAGGAACACAATGCATCCTCATTTTGCCTGTATGGGACCGGAAAGGAAGCTTGTATACATTCATAATCAGGGTGCATTGTTCAGCTCGAGGTGAGATGGTAGGAGGTCCGAGGGGCAATCGTCAATCGAAACCATGATGTGATGACAATGCTGAGGATGACGATCACATGGAGAATCCAGTCATCAATCACAGTCAAATCATACTTGCAACCGCACTGTGCTCCGTACTGCATGGTGTGCCGCACGGTGCGCGGCACAGCACCTTGCCGTGGACTGTACCAGCACTAGTCTCCCTTTTCGTTTCGTTGTGCTGTTTTTGTTGATACAGAAGAGCGCACTGCCTAAGGAAACACATCCTTTTCAAGTCCAATTTTTCTTTTCGTCCAATTGGCCATGAGAAATAGGCTCAAATAGGTGTCCGGAACATCAGTCTCAAGCTTCAGGTGGCGACAATACTCTCCCACTAGTCCCCCCCTTCACACCCCCCCCCCCACTGCAATCCCACAACAAATATTCAAAGAGGGTGCAGGTGACAGTTGAACCAGGCCTGGGACCCCTTTTTTTCTGGGTGAATATTTCCCACCTGCTCCGCACATGCTGTGAGCCCCGCCGTGCCGTGCGTGTCCGCTCACGCGCCGTACGTGTGCAATTTTCTGCACTGTGTGTGCTTGCATGTATGAGTCAAATGGAAAATGCAATTTAATGCATCCCACCCACTGCTAGTATGCGCTTCCGATAGGCGACACTTACCAGGGTTACGAAGCTCAAAACCGACGTCAGAACAGGATTAACTGACGTCGGCTGAGTGACAGTCTGCTTGACAGACAGGCCGCCAACAGTCCATGTCAGGTCGCTTGAAACAAACTGCGTCACGTACAAAGCTGGCTTTGGCTCCCACTGCTGGAAATATACTGAATCGCCGAGCTTTGAGAAGGATTCTATCCCTGCAAAAAGACATGACCGATCAAAGGAAAAGCCAAACCCGTCAAAACTGCTGCTTCAGCTTCTTCTCTGCTCCGTCTCATTTCACATTTTAATTTATGCAGCATCCTTGTGGAGGGGCCATGATAATCTTCTCTGTTTAGTTCCAATTTTAACGGATGTCTCAAAGGACACCTTTTTCAATTCAACACCTTTGTGCTTACCCCCTCCCCGCGTTCCTCCACTCTTACAGTACAAAATCTACAAAATCTGGTGAAGAATTCCTTCATATCGGTGTCCCTCTCTGCTTTTGGATTTGCTCTTCTTCTCCCACTTCACCTACCAGAACGAAAATCCTCGATATCCAGACACAACCCCCAACTGCCAAATCGTTACCTTCACTATGCCCAATTGCCCATCGCACCCTTGCCATTGTGGTTACTACGTAGTACGTACTCCTCTTGCTCGTGGAATAGCAACAACAAAGACAACAATGACGGCCAGAATAATGACAGCAGTGGCAGCAACCACAACCACACCGCAGCACCAGCAGCAACAGCAACAAGGACTTGATATTGCAATCAAACAGAAACTCAGAGCATGATATAGTCCATTTTTTATTGAAATTCAAAATGACCCTGGTAGTCCATGCCATAAACAATTAGTGTTGGCCCTTGGTCTACGCCCGATGGTTTTTGGGGGCGATTCGATGAGGGACGTAGCTAATGCGTTAAACACTTTACCTGGGGAGCACGGTCACAAGGTTGAAACGAAAAGTAATTGATCCGGGGCTGTGAAAGCGGTGGAGCATGTGGTTCAATTCGACGCAATGAGCAAACTGACAGCAGCAGCAGGAGCAGGAGCAACAGCTACCATTTGTTGCTGTTGAAACAGTGGTAGTTCTCGTTGTTGTTGTCGTTGCTGCTGTCGCTCTTGTGGTGTGGTTGTGCTTGTTGTTGCCATTATGCTACTACTTCAATAGCAACAACAATGAAACGGTATTCACCTGTTCGCAGTATGCAGATCACAGGGCTCGATCCCTAGTTCCTACCCTACCTGTGTACAGTACCTGTGTTGACCCCGAGAGTTGAACCCGTGACCTGTGTATTTGCAACAGTAGATAGGCTGTCGTAGGTCCGTAGGTTGTAGGGGTTCGATCTGTAGACCTGTCGGGTAGAGGTCTTAGCAAGTTCTAGAAGTCGTAGCTGTGGAGTTTCTGAAAGGTCAAGGTCGTAGCTGCTACAGTCCTGAAAGGTCAAGGCCGTAGCTGCTACAGTGTCGAAGGGCCAAGTCCACAGCCTTCCGGAAGGTCCGGAAGGGGCCCTTTGAAGTTTCCTCACGTTTAGACAGAGGCAAGTGGGCAAGTGGTGAGCCCAACTGCGGTACGTCAGCAGTGCGACTGCCTCGAGTTGGCAGTGCAAACCCATGCAGTCAGCGGCACCGGTCCCAGTCAGTCACAGTCCAGTCAGGCAAGTACCGTGTGGGACTGTGTGCACTAGGGGCATGGGAAAGGGGCGGACCAACGAGTTACAGAAGTATAAATCAAGAGGCAGCGCCCAGCCATTCATTCATTCCTGCGTAAGCCATGCGGAAGCGCTGCTTGAGCGGCTTGTGCGAGGTGGTCTGCACAGCGCCCGAAGACGAAGTGGGCAGAGTTGAGGTGGTGTAGCCATAGCCAGCAGGGTTGAGCGGCCATAGCCGCCGTAGGTGGTAGACGAGTGTAGGGTGTGAGTGTGTGTGAGACAGTGTGTCGCGTGTGGGATTTCCAGGGTGATCCTGAGTTGAGTGTGTGTGAACAGCAGAGTTGAGCTAGTGACGAACAGAGAGTTGTACAGGCGCTGATGCGCCATAGCCATATGAAGCGAGCTTGTATCTGAACTGTGTTCTTGATTACCATATCTCTGAGCTTTGAGTGGGCACTTGTTGCCAGTTTGGTGTGCTACCTGTTTACATGCATGCGAAGTGGAAAAGAAAGTGAGTCTGATTGCGAAGTGGAAAAGAAAGTGAGTCTGACAACAACAACTACTACTACTACTACTACCACCACCACCACTACTATGACTACTGCTACTTGTACCACTGCTACGACCGATAGCACTACCGCTGCTACTGCTACTACTACCACTGCTACCACTGGCAGCACTGCTGCCGCTACCACAGCTGCTACCACTGCTGCTACCACCACTGCTACTACTACCGCTGCTGCTACTGCCGCCGCTACTACTACTACTACTCCCACTACTACTACTACTACTACTACTACTAGTACTACTAGTACTACTACTGCCACTACCACCACCACCACTACCACCACCACCACCACTACAATGACGACTACTACAACTACAACTACTTCTACTGCAGCAGCTACTACTGCTACAACAGCAACAAGGACAACAGGCTACCACCACCACAACTACTACTAGTACTACTACTACAACAATTGCAATGACATCGAGGCTGATCCTCTGCAACACAAGTGACAAAAGGTAGGCGTTATCGATGTGTGATCAATTAGTAGACACGAGCATGTGTCACGTCCTTCACACTCTGATTACAAATAGAACACCAATAACCGTTGTCGCTTGTGCCGTTGATTGAACAGAGAAATTGAGGTCTGTCCCTGGCTCACCGTGGGCATGCACGGACGGCAAGACTGTGCAGACTCTGCACACACAAGCCTGCAAACCTGAGAGAGAGAGAGAGAAAGAGAGAGAGAGAGAGAGAGAGAGAGAGAGAGAGAGAGAGGAACAGCAAGACTACCGCTATGGATGGAAACTGGAGCCGCGTCAACGGGCCTGCCAGAACGAACCCAATTTGGAGCGTCTACAGTCATGTTTGCCCAATCACCTGCATATGCACGGCTCCAACCATCCAGATACATCCTAACAACCAGCGGTCGTTCTCACAGTCAGAATGTACCATGATGAAATTTCAAGTTTCACGTGTGATATGGTTGAAAAACCCTCTGGACAGTACAGGGAAAGCACTCATGGGCATGCCCACTTGGGAGAGGTGTGGCCAGCCCTAGCCAGTTGTTTCACACCCGGAGGGGGCTCCACACCACATCCTTGAATAAGGTTGACGCCAAACTTGACGGCATTGATGACATACGTGTGTCTTTTGACGAACAACTACGTTGTTGTAACTTGTTGACCAGAAATGAATAAATAAATGTTTCTCTATGCTACCAGCCCGTCGGGACCCCTGTCATCCGTTCCGGCGTCCATGGAGTTGGTCGTCTGTAAAATTTCCGGTTATCCGTGAAAAAGTGTGTCGTCATAAAAATTTCCGGTCGTCCGTAAAAAAGAAGAGGAAACTATGTTATGCAGCATTTCAATGCAAACAACTTTTGCCTGGGAGTCATCTTCAGATTTCAAGCCAAATTTGAGTTGAAAAACAAAAACAAAAAAAAAAACAAAGACAGAAGTTAATGAACTAAGAAAAAATAAAAATGCACCGGGCCAAAACATGTGGATCTGGACCAGGATGTCTGTACAGACGTCCCAGACGACTTAAAGTGCCCCAGTCGTCTGGGCTGAGTGCAGAGATCTTTCTACTATTTCATTACTTCTGGAGTGGTTGGTTGGCTCTTCATACCTGTCCCATAGCAACACCAGAAGGACTCAAACGGTTTGCCCCACCCCATTGGTCCTCTTGCCTTGGAGTTACCAGGTCCCATGGGTAGGAAATAAATCATGACGCCCGGTTCCTCGGGCCCTCGCTGGATGCCCAACACACCATTCGTCAATGCTCGCTCATAGTACTCTGCATAAACCGGGTTACGACTCCAGCGGAACAAATTTCTGGCCACCTGTGTATTAATCCGAATGCAAGACAGCCAAAGCACCATTGAGCCTGAGCGGCAGATGCAGAGCAAGCACACACGTTCCATAGCAACATTGCCGACAAGTCGAAATCATGGACTAGAATTCCAATGAATTGCGATCATCTCGCTGACACAGAGAACGACGGGCTACGAAGGGGGTTGGGGGGAGGGGGGGGGGAAGACTGCTTAATTCTACAATTGTGAAATGCAGCTCACAGGAGCTCTAGTCACAGGAAGAGGGGTGAGGAAGAGGGGTGAGGATAAAAGAGGAAAGGGGGGGGGGGGAGCAAACGGGGGTTGGTCGTGGTTTCCGACGTGAAGTTAGGATACAGTTACCAAATTGCCACTTAATATGTACCTACCCACCTAAATGGGAAGGAAACCATATTGTTGTATCAGTTGGGGAGTGCTGCAAACTTGACGACTCACGCATCGCATTTGAACAGCACTAAAGCAACCGCCAAATTCTTCAGGTCGATTTATGGTGTTCACTGCTTGTTGACTGTAGTGGACCAACACCTGACTGACACATGACCAACGCCTGACTGGCTGCCGACTCACAGCTGACTAGGGGGGGGGGGGAAGGCATAACACAAACATGTGATGACGAGGCATGCCTGAACGCTTACTAAACGATCCAGGGCATGTACCGCTTGGCTCCGCATTTTTAAGATTTACATCAAGAAGAGGGAAGATGGTTGAGGGGCCCCCCACAATGATGTCCAGGCCTCCCATGCTTTTTGTGGGAAGGCCCAGCATGCCACACATACCTTCAGCATGTTGTGCGTTGTGCAAGATTCCTGATCCGTCTGTTGCAGCGTATTGCCAAGCCGCTTAGGGTCCTGCCTAACAAGATCCAGTCCAGGAATAGACGTGTGCACACCCACACACCCACACACACGCATGCACGCACGAGAACACACACACACACACACACACACACACACACACACA